TTGCTCTAAACAGAGATGAGCAGGAGCTGCTGTAACCCAGCTGGGAATGATGTGGGGGATGCTGCCAGCTGCTCCACCAGCCTGGTGGTCCAACAGGTGACTGATGCCTTCAGCCCAGAATTGTGAAAAGTAGCACYGCGGGAATCAATGGGAATATTATTTTTTTGAGGGAATGATAGACTCAACCGAGATTCCTATTGATTTTTTGCCTCTCTAATGACTTGTACTACATGCACAGTCGGGCAGCTCATTATTATCAGGGGACTTGAGGCAGGATTTCTTGATGCTGACAGGTCTGCTGGCAGCACACAGCATTATTCTTCTGGGACGTTTGGGAGGAGTGGATAGAGCTGCCAGCAGAGAGGTGCCGTTCATCCCCGTGGAGCTGGCCACAAAATAAACAGGGAGCTGTTCCAGTTCAGCACGAGCTGTGCTCTCAAAGATGAAATGGCATTGCTCCTGTGAGCTGCTGACCAGCTTTGGGGAGCTCTGTGCTCAGCAGGATTTCRGGTGTGCACTTTATCCACTTACATTGACTCCTTCTTAATCTCATCTTGGAGCTGCTGGGGCAGAAATAAAGCAGCTGTGGAAACACTTCACTCTTTGTAAGCCCCTGTTYCCACATCTGGATGTGGGCCTGAGTGTTTTCTCCATCATAAATAAAATCCTTCTCCAGCCCATCTCACATCTGAGAGGTTGAGAGGAGTGGATATCCAGTGATTAACCACAGATCATTGAAATAACTTCCTATTGTAAATAATAAAAGCGCTAACCGCTTTGCTAAACCTCCCCTCTCCAAATGACACAGATACTAAAAAAAGCTGATAATTGGAAAGGCAATAATAGGTTTGGCTTAGTCTCTGGGAGGAAATAGCAGTTTCCTGAAGCTGGCAATAAAAATTATAGGGCAGTCCATTGACCCTGCACAGACCTATTTTAAGACAGCAAACCACTGGCTGCAATGAGATAACAAAGAAACACACGATGTACAGCTCTCCTGARCTGTGAAATGTGTTGAGGAGGAAAAAATAATTCCTTAAGACTGGACAAACCYGTGGTTTCTACCCTGTGTGAAGCAGGCTGCCAGCAAGCTCCACACAGAGCTCTGGGATGTGGCCATTCCTTGTCTGGTCCAGGCACCACCAGCAGATAAAACTGCCTGTTCCCAGTTTGTGCTCCTCATGAAACTGTTGTAGGGCAGCCCCAATGGCACATCAGACCCTGCTGGTGCTGGCAGGTGGCTCTTCAGGCAAGGCAAGCACTGTTCAAGCTACTGGAAAGTCATAATCGTAGTAAAAGGGAGGAAAAATGGTGGGTGTGAAAACAGATGGATGAAAAAGCTTTGCTGCCTTCATTGTTGTTTGTGGTCTGTAAACAGCAAGCTGTCAGTTTAAAAGAAAAGGGGRAAAAAAAAGATCACGTGGCCTTTTAGGTTGTGAAGATGCAGCTGTCACATAAACATATGTCCTGCTGCCCTCGTAGCCCTTTTCTGCARAAAATCATTCCCATCCAAACACTGAGGAGACAGAGGCAGAAGCTGTCTTGCTATCATCCCTTTCACTTGAGTGAAATGTGCATTTAGGAACCTCAGTAATTAGGAGACAGCAGCAGCTCCTTTGCTTCTAAAGCAGAAGAATAAAGCTCTATTAAAAGAACGTTTTCAAAAGCCCTGGAAATTCAGGGGGATGCTAAAGCAGGCTGGTGGTGTGCAGTTTCCAGGCTGTGGGCAGGAGCTGTGCTGCAGTGAGGGTTTGCMCAGCTCCCCAGCACAGCCTGTGCTCTCTACAGAGGTTCCCAGGTTGTGCTGATGGCAGCACCCTGAAACCCTGTCCCCAAATGTGTCCATGGTGTGGGGGTTAAAAACACAGCCAGGGTTCAGCCTTGAGTGAGGGTACACCACAATCTTTTATTCATATGTAAATAAAGGTCCAGAAAACAAATTTCCATAAATATGTCAAGGTAAACACGTGGATGGGCTTATTCTGCAGTGAGCTCTCTGGATATGGAGCATGTTGGAAAATGGGGGTTGGATCAAGAGCTGCAGGATGAAATCCTGAAGGGTTTTACTGTTCCAAGATCTCAGTAGAAATGTGCCTGYATTGCTCCGTTCCTGTTTGGCTGTAAAATGTCTGCCTTAACCTGGCAGTGATACAGAGCTGGAGCAGTGCTGGCATCTCAATTTAATTTATTCCTGCGAGTTCAGCCATAATGTGAAACAGATATGCTGAATATGTAGGCTCTCGGGTCATCATTAATATTAATGTAAATCTATAAGGTCTTGTACAACTTCTCTGACATCATAAAATGGGAATTAAGTATCACAGCATTTGAAAGAATATTCAGAAACAACACAGAGACTGAAATCTGGGATCATTTTTTGGGTTTTTTTTTTCCCTAAAACCTCTATTATTATCTCTTTATTTAATTATTTTTCTTGCCATTGCTTTAACCAATCTGGATGGATCACTGGTAATTACCTGCATTGTTTATTCCTGCTTTGCTGGTGGCTAAAGAGAGACACCTCACAGCGACAGGACCGGGGCAATGTGTACAAATTGAAAGAGGAGGAATTTAGGTTAGAAAAAGAAATAAAATAAAAGCATTGTCCCTGCCTATGGCACTTTAAGGTCCATTCCAACCCCTTAACATTCTATGATCTTTACTGTGTACAGAAAAGCACCTTGAAGCAAAAGTAATACTTTTCAGAAAACAAACATGATTGTGGGAAAGTGGTTTTACTGTTTTTTKGGGGGGCGTATTGGGGTTTTTTGGGTTTATTTTTTTGGGGTGAGGGGAGTAATGTATTCATTTCTTCTGTTTCTTGGTAGAAAAGTTCATACAAACTTACAATTCTCTGTATCAAGCAAAGAAAAACAGAGTAAATTTAAAGGGATCTCATTTTTTATGAGATGCCATAGAGATGAGCAGAGGGGTGATCAGTGGAAACCAATGGAATAATCAGCCCTAATCCAGAATAAAGACTATATTCAGATTTTTAAACTTCAGCACCCCTGGGAGCTGGGAGCCTGCTGTCTGTGCAGGTTCTTTTATGTTTTCCTTCCAAGAATATGGAATCTGAAGTTCTGAAATTCACATCTTGCTCCTCTAGTCCTTGCTTTGGGCAGTGCCAGGTCTCCTAATGGGTGGCTGTCTCTGGTAAATGCAGCCATCAGTGAATGTAGATGCAAACAGAACAAATTCTGTCTTCCCAAATCACCCATGGGAGGGTCTTGTGCAGGAATACACCCATGTTCAAATGTGATCACTCTTGACTCTTCTTTTTCCAGCATTGACTCATTTCTCCAGCTTTCTGTTACACTTCAAAGSCAGCAGAAACCACCAAATGCACAGGGAAATTTTCCTCACTACCTGTAGATTGCAAAAATCCTATCTTGCTGTTTCTTATTTTACCCTCCACTGCTGATTCTCCAGCTCTCCTTGCTGTAGCTCGCAAACTCCACCAGGATCTCTCTGTCTCCTGCTTCCCAGCATTGCAAAGACAGCTCTGGAAACAAAGCTGTGCTTTTCCTGCTTCCCACATCACAAGCAGMAATAAAGAGTTTGGATTTCCAGAACAACTGGAAGGATCCATGAGGCAGGGGGGCTGGGGAGCTCCGTGTGCAGGGGAGCTGGTTTTTRAGGGAAAAAGGGCTGTAACCAAAGAGAGACAGCTCTGGTTTATTGGGATAAACAGAGCTCCAATCCCACCATGAGCCTACATGGCTGGGAATCAGAATTTCCTTGGGGATGCAGGAATTCCTTAGGAGAGTTTGAAAGTGGGATCAAAGGGAGGGTTTGTCCTTGTGAATATCTTGTTTTTAGACTGTTATCCAGATTGTGTGGCATTRCAGAAGGGGATCAGAGGGAATTGCTCCTGTGATTCCCAGTGTTTCCCAGCGTGGATCCTGCAATTATCCCCCTCCTCTGTGCAGAAAAAKAATGAGGAGAAAGGCACGGTGGGGTTGTGTGTGTCTGCTCCAGCCAGGGAGGATTTGTCACAGATGGAGCAATTTTCTCCAAGAGTAAATCCAGATTTCCACGAGGTTTGCCCAGTTGTTGGAGGACAGAGGGAGGTGCTCAGCAGAGCTTTGCTGGGCTGCTGTTTCCAGAGCACGGGCAGCATCCATATTAATGGAGCATTGTTAGCACGGTAATTTATGCTGGAATCATTACACCTGAGACGTGCAGGGGCATAAAGCGCTCCTCAAAGCCTGCAGCAGATCAGTGCCTGCCAGAGCCAGCTCTTTAACCAGGCAGCATTCCCATTTGGATGGCAATCACACTCTGGACAGCAGCAGCCCCTGCCAGGAAGGGCTGAGCACCAGGAGCTGGGGATTCCACGAGGTTGTGTTTGCAGCCGAGGTGGCCGAGCAAGCTGCCGAGTCTGAGCTTTTCGTGAAGCCAAACACAACATTCGGATCCAAATGCTGCTTCTGCAGCTCTGCAGGCTCCAGGGTGGGTTGGACCAGAGTTGGGTTTTATCCCAGCTCTGCAAYGAGGAGCTGCAGTCAGAACAGCTCRTTTGGCAGTGGCRGCAGCACAGAATGTCGGTCAGCTCCACATCCATCAGAGAGCTGAAATATTCAAACATCTTCTCCCGTGTCTGTTTGCCATGTGTTTAAATAAATACCCAATTTGCGAAATTCGCAGTAATGGTGCATGAAAATGAGATGTACGGTGGCATGTACTTTTGACCCAAGGCTTGTCAGTCTATTACAGAGCAGGTCATTTAACTGGTAAATTCTATTAGCTAATCAGGCACTTACGTGGGCTCCATCACTCACACATGGAGCGTGGAGAAACGTGTTGGCACTCACTCCAACTTCTCAATGCTTARGAGAACCAACTGCAGGCAAGTCCAGTAGGGTGGAGTGTTTTATGCACCAAAAACTGTTGGTGGTATTTTTCAAAGATGAACTACAAGAAAAAAAAAAATAGTCACTTTTAAAAGGATTGTATGTTTGCTGTAGATGGGCAAATTACACACTGTGATGTTTTCCTATATATTTTTTTTGTGTTTTTCTTTTTATTTTCCAGGAAACAAAAATCAACTGCGTCCGTCTGGCAACAAAAGGTATGTGGGTCTCCTTTCTGCAAAACACAATGCCAGAAATATAGAAACTGCAGTGGTGGCACAACTTGATTACAGTTCCTAGCCGAAAAACAAGCCTCCTTATTTCCTCTTTTATTTTTTTAAGGAAGATTGCAAAGACAGAACAACAATTTCCAGGACCACTCCACTATATTTGTAGTGTTTTGGGTTTTTTTTTTTTAACACAGGCTATCATTCTCCATGGTTCCTCCTTCCCCTCATTCTGTTGACAGCTTTTCTGACCTGAGGACTCTTCTTGCTGTTGGCAGAACATCAGTGACAAAGGGATATTAACTCCCTGTGGCATTTGGTCTCCCCACAATTGTCCAAAGTAGATAAGAGGAGATCCTGTGTAAGCCTCACCTTGCACTCAGTGGGGCACAGTTTGTACATCACAACACTTTCATGATCTAATTCTGCAAACGAGGAGGGAGCATTCCTGATTTCCACTGTGATGACCCCAGGGTGATGGGGCACACGAGTCAGAGTGAGAGAACCAGGACAGCCCCAGGTTGGTTCAAGAGCTGCAGCTCTCCAGGGACCAACGGTGGCAATGCCTGAGCTCCTCCTAAAGAGTTTACAGCTGCTTTTAACAACTCTCCTAAAGATTTCAAAATCACCCTGGGGGCTGCTTTTCCAGAAAAGATGTCAGACAGCAATTTATTTGTAGCACAGAGGTGTAGCTGTAAAAAGATTTCCCCAACACATGTTCTGGTCTCCAAAGGAGCTGTAGGGATGTGCTGGGGTGATTGCCATGGGCTGTGCTACACATCACTCCATTTCCAGGCTCAGCTTTGCCAGCTTGTGCTCTTCATGTGAAACACCTGCATGGCTGCCTGGGGAGGCTTTGGAGAGCTCACCAAAACTGGCAGGAACCCAGAAATCCTTTGAGGCACCATCCCATTTTTTTTCCATTCTTTTCACTCTTTTCTGACTTGTGSCAGAAGTTAACAACTTCAAGATCTTTTTTCCTCATCCCTTCTGCATCTGCACCTACAGAGGAGYTGGGAGGGCTCAAAGAAGCCCCATTTTTTGTCAGTGGACAGCAGAACAGGAGTTTTTCCATCTCCCTGTGGAGATGTCCCCAGGCTGTCACAGCCAGGCATGGGATGGTGGGTGCTGCAGGAGGTTCCCACCAGTGCAGCTGTTTCCCTGCTCAGATTTGGCAATGGAAACTGGTGGGGCTGTAAGCAGTTGTGTCACCACTGAAAGTCAAGGAGGACGAGCCATTTCCCATTTCCCCCCTTTCTCCTCCTCATCTGTGGCTCTGGTGCTCCCCATGTCCTCCCTGTTCCTTTCCTGTTTAAAAGTTCCTTGTAAAAGTTTTATTTAATCCATTCTCTGGGTTACAAACATTCCGTGTGTCTCAGTCTGTGTGTCTCCTCCCTCTCAGTTTTCCCAGCTGGCAGTGATGTGACCATTTCAAATACCTGATTTTGGCTTTCTGGTGGTAGAGCAAGAGCAGGAAATTGGGTGAAATGAATCTCCACAAGCTTTTCTAACAGCATGGTCTCTTCATGAGATCAGAGATACTGGATTAATTAATTTAATTAATTTTTGGAAACCTGGAGTTCCTTCTATTTCAGTTGTTCATTTTTCTGGAGCTGGTGGAAGAATGTTGTCATGCTAGGGGGACAGATATTTGTTCTGTGACTATTCAAAAGGAAATAACTTACACAGCTTGAAAAATCACATTCTGGAATGACCTTTTGTTTGCACTCTCTGTTTTGGGTACCTCAGAAAAGCATCCCAAGAAGTGTTTGACCTCCAGTTGACCTCTACAAACTGAGATAATTTACATTAACCTTGTTAAGTCACCAGGAAGAGTCACTGAGCCACCCTTGTTTTGTTCCTTCTGAATGTCATCTCTTTCTAAAAAATAATYTTTTGCTAGGATTAATTTAATAAGAAATACGAAAGAGTTGGCTAGAGCCTGAGGATTTCTAGAGCCACTGCTTTGTGGTGATCTTATCCTTTAGGTTTTTTCTTTATTGACTTGAATGGAAAAGGACAAGAAATGATGGCAGTTGTGGTGTTGATTCTCGCTGTCTCAATTCAYATCCCTTTTGATTTATATCACTTTTGATTCATATCACTTTTGATTTATAGGTAGATATCTTATTCCTCTGCATGGAGTGCACAAATCTCTGTGGRAATTCTTTTCCTCTTGCCCTCTCTCAGGTTTCAGGGCTGTAATWCCCAGTTCCTGGCCATTAGCACGGACCCTGAACAGCCCAGCTCTGGCTGATCTGACACAATTTTAGATCTCCAAAGCAGCAGCACTGGGTGCATCCCCAAGGAAAGGCAGCCCCGACAGAGTGAGGATTTCACTGTGGTGTCTTTACTAGGAATCAGGGAAAAAAAAAAAACAAAACCATTTTTTGGAGTCAGGATCAATCTCAGCATTATAAGCTCTGCTTTAAGTTGGTATCAGAGGAAAAAAAAAAAACATATTTTGTTTTGATGCGAGAAAATAAATACACACTACTGGTGCCAGACTAAATGTTCATTTTGGAACAGAGGACTGCTTTTCCCATTCCTAGACACTTGACACCACAGCAGCTCCATTAACACCAGTGAAATGAGCTCTGATTTACACCAGTGACAGCAAGATTAGCATCGAGGCGTGCTTCAGCAAGGCAAGTGTTCTCTCCAAGTACTGGATTAACAAGGGCACTAAACGTGAGTGTGGGAGTAATGAGSAGTGAAATGTGTTAGGCAAGTGTTACTGAGGGTTGTAACACATCCTGGGTGTTGCTGCGAGGCACCTGCTCGGGAGCTGAGTGGCTTTAATTGCTTGAGAGATGTACAGGGATGTTCCTCTGCCGTTCCTCCAGCAGGATGGGGGAATCTGCTTTCCCATTKCCTCAACACCAAGAAAAGGAAAGCAGAGGCTAAACCCTTTTCAAAAGTGGTTTAGTCCACAAAAAGAAACAGTTTGGGAGTTTTCCCAGTTTCCTTTCCTCCTCTTTTAGCAAGAGCTGASTGGCTTTAATTGCTTGMGAGAGCACAAGGCTGTTCCTCTARCAGCATGAGGGAATCTGCTTTTCCTGCCCCATTGCCTCGACACGAAGAAAAGGAAGGCAGAGAACTCTTTAAAAAGTGGTTTAGTCCACTAAATGAAAAAGTTTTGGCGTTTTCCCACTTTTCTTTCCTCCTCTTTTAGCAAGAGCTGAGTGGCTTTAATTCCTTGAGAGATGCACAGGGCTGTTCCTCTGCTGCTCCTCCAGCAGGATGGGGTAATCTGCTTTCCCATTGCYTCAACACAAAGAAAAGGAAAGCAGAGATGAAACAACTTTAAAAAGTGGTTTTGTCCACAAAAAAGAAACAGTTTTRGAGGTTTCCCAGTTTCCTTTCCTCCTCTTTTAGCAAGAACTGARTGGAATTGCTTGAGAGATGCACAGGGCTGTCCCACCACTGCTCCTCCAGTAGGATGAGGGAATCTGCTTTCTGTGTCCTATTGTCTCAACACCAAGAAAAGGAAARCTGAGAACTCTTTCAAAAGTGGTGTAGTCCACTAAATGAAAACGTTTTGGAGGTTTCCCAGTTTTCTTTCCTCCACTTTTAGCAAGAAATCAAGGAATTAATCAATTTAATTCGTTGAGAGATGCACAGGGCTGTTCCACTGCCACTCCTCCAGCAGGATGAGGGAATCTGCTCTTTGTTACCATTGCCTCAACACAAAGAAGAGGAAAACTGAGAACTCTTTAAAAAGTGGTTTAACTCATTTAAAAAAAAAACAAAAAAAAACCAAGTTTTGGAGGTCTCCCAGTTTTCTTYCCTCCTGTTTAGCAGGAAATAGGCTGTTGAGATCAACCTTGGTGCTCTCTCCACGTGGTTCCCTATGTGCTGCTCCTGGTTAGATGAACCCGATTCTTGCCAGGGCAAGAAAAAGCTCTCAAATCTTTTTGTTTTGGGTTAATAAACRTTGGGAGGAGGGGGTGGCACAGCATTTCAGAGCAGCAGGTCCCCAGCCAGGCCAGCAGATCCACTGAGCCCATTTCCCTCATTCAGTGCCAACATGCAGGAGATGGGTGGTGTCTGTGGGAATGGTCAGTGCCGGGACTCACCCTCAGACCTTTGCTGGGGTGAATTTCCTGATCCAGCAGAAAGCAACGTGTCCATTTGTGTAGCCATCCSACACCGTGCCAGCATGCTTGGAATCCACCCACATTATTAACCTTTTGTGTCTACATGTGCATTTWTTTTCAAATTCATTGGTCTCAGATTTTTTTGTCACTTCCCTCCTTGCATGGGCTACTCTTTTGTTTTTTTAAATTTTAAATTACTGGACTAATGTCATCTTTCACAGCATTAGGCACTTGGATGCATTTCATTAACATAAAACACTCTTTAAAAATGTTTGTAATTAAACCCCAATTTACCAGCTCTCTGCCATACAATTTTCATTCAGAGGGGTTATTTATAGGTTTTGCCACGTGGTTTCCTTGACAGCATTTGTTTTAATAYGTCCCATTCTTTCCGAATTAACGGACTTGTTCTCCCTGTCTTAAAGCAACATATTTATATCGACACTTTATTAGAGAAAATTGCAACCTCTCACCAAGAGAGAGCGATTACCTCTTGTATTCCTAAAGTGCATTAAATTAATTTCACAGTGTAATTGAAACCAAGGCAGAGGGCTCATTAACGGTTCCTTATCTCGCGATACTTGTTTCTTCTTTCCTTAAAATGTGAGTTCTTGCAAATGAAAGAATGGAACTATAATAACCATTATGAGGTACATTTTTTTTTCTTTTATTTTTTTTGCTTTTTCTTTTCTTGTGCATGCTGCCTGGGAACCATTTTGCTTGTTCTTAGCAGTGATAGGTAGACAAGAGGTGACCACGCGAAACCCGCCCAGCCTCTTGAGCACAGGTGATTATCAGTTCAGGAAAAGGAGAACTGGTCAAACTTCCATTGGTCTGAGCAGCTTCATGACTGCTTGTTTAATATGTGTTTTACATGAGAAATTATTTTAA